GGATGGGAAGCGGGATCACCGGGATTAGAACCGGAATCCATATGGGATCCCGGTGTGTTCAAGGCAAGGACTTTAACCGCTACGTTATTGCACTGGGCCCAAAAATATACATTTTAAAAAGAAAAACTTGAATTAGAAAAATATTAGGACGTTTAAAGAAAGGTTTTAGTTATTTGAGAGACAAAAAGACAAGACAGAAAGAACTCTCATTTGTTGGTTTGCTCTCCCAAACCCTGCAACAGCCAAGGGTGTAATCAAAAGCCAGAGCCGTCTCCTGGTCTCCCACATGTGTGGTAGGAACCCAGGGACTTGAGCCAGCACCTGCAGGCTCCAGGTCTGAATGAACAGAAGCCTGGACTTGGGAGAAGAGCTGAGGCTAGACCCAGGCACATGCTGTGGGACGTGGTGGTTCCAGGCAGTGTCTTCACCGCTGTGCCACATGCCGGTCCTGTAGTTCCGGACTAGGGAATGCGGACCTTTTCATGAGACAGACATGGGTATGCATCCCAGCCTTGCCTCTTGCTGTGGGGCTTCGGGTAAGGACCACCGCTCTTTTAACTGCAAAATGCAGGTGAGAGAAGTCTTCACATTGCTAAATGATTACGAGGAAAGATGAAGGGTTGAATTCAGAACACCTGGTGCGGTAAGGGCTTGGTGCAACTCAGCTTTCTTAGCTGCAAAGGAGGACTTAACCATGGTGTTAACTAGTTAGGTTGTATATCTAAAACTGGAAGCAATAGTACTTTTTTTAAAAGATTAATTTATTTTTATTTGAATCTCAGGTATACATAGAGGAGGAGAAACAGAGAGGAAGATCTTTTGTCTGTTGAGTTACTCCTTAAGTGTCCACAACTGCCAGAGCTAAGCTGATCCAAAGCCAGGAGCCAGGAGCCTCTTTTGGGCTTCCCATATGGGTGCAGAGTCCCAAGGTTTTGGGCCATCCTCAACTGCTTTCCCAGGCCACAAGCAGGGAGCTGGATGGGAAACAGGGTCGCTGAGACACGAAATGGCACCCACTTGCGATCCTGTTGCATATAAGGCAAGGACTTTAGCTACTAGGCTACCATTGCAGGTCTAGGTATAGCGCTTTGAAATCCTGTGGAGGAGGCAGTGTTTTGGCGTAGTAAGTAAAGCTGCCACCTGAAACATTTGCATCTTTTGTGGGCACTGGTTCACATCCTGGTTGCTTCATTTCCATCCCAGCTCCCTGCTAATAGCTTGGGAAGGCATTAGGAGATGGCCCAAGTATTTGTACCCTGCCAACCAAGTGGGAAACCTGGATGAAGAAAAAAATCCAAATTTCTAAGCTTTTCCACTATAGAGGAAAGGTATTTGTATTACTGGACCCTCCTCATTACAAAGATATTAAGAATGAAATTTGGGCCTGGTGTGTTAGCCCAGCGGCTACAAGTCTTCACCTTGCATGTACCCAGATCCCATATGGGCACTGTTCATATCCCAATTGCCCCACTTCCCATCTAGCTCCTTGTTTATGGCCTGGGAAAACAGTAAACGATAGCCCAAAGCCTTGGGACCCTGCACCCATGTGGGAGACCCGGAAGAGGCTCCTGGCTTCTGGCTTCTGGCTTCAGATTGGCTCTGCTCTGGCCGTTGCGGCTGCTTGGGGAGTGAATCAACTGATGGAACATCTTCTCTGTCTCTCCTCCTCTCTGTGTATCTGACTTTCCAATAAAACAAATAAATCTTTTAAAAAAATAATTAAAATAATATATAAAGTTACATATATATATATATATATATATGGAACATGGGAATGGTTTGATAGAGCCGGGTTAGACTGGCCACCTGACCCCAGCAGCCCATGTCTGGCTGCTCTACTTCTAATACAGCTTCCCGTCAATGTACTTGGGAAGGCAACGGATGTTCCAAGTGCTTTGGGTTCCTGCCACCCTTTGCGAGACTGGAATGCAGTTTTAGGCTCCTGGCTTCAGCGTGGTTGTAATTTAGGTGTTGTAGCTATTGGAGGGGGGGGGGTGAACCAGCAGATGGAAGATCTCTTTCTATCTCTATGCCACTCTCCTTTTTCAAAGAAATATCTAAATAAATAAATTTCTAGAAAAATTCATATAAAATAATTATAGCAGGTAGGACTTTCAGAATTTCTGAGAGCAATTAGTGGATGCTAGTATATCCAGCTCTGACTGCAGCTTTCTGCTAATGCAGTGGGGGTGGGTCAAAGAATTGGGTTTCTAACACTCATTTGGGAAACTTCGATTTTGTTCCCAGTTTTTTCCCATCCCAACCCCGACCACTGTGGGTATTTAGGGAATGAATGAGTGAATGAGAACTTTGTCTCTTTCACTGTTAAATAAAAATATAAATAAAATTTCAAATGATAAAGAAGTGACAGCTGACCAGGAAAATCTTCAGCTATAGAATTTACACTTGGTGGGGACCTCTGATTAGAAAGGATTTAGGGTCTTTTTTTGGGGGGGGTACATTTTTAAATTTATTATTTGGAGAGAGGCAGAGAGGGAAAGAGAAAGTTAGTTCCCACTACGTGGTTCATTCCCTAAATTCTGCAATAGCAGGGGCAGAAAGAGAGTCTGAAGCTGGGAGACAGGAATTCTGGACAGATGGAGTGTGGATAACAGGGACCCCATCACTTGAGCACCTGCCTCCCAGGGTGAGCATTAGCAGGAAGCTGAAATCAGTTGCAGGAGCCTGGAGTCAAATCTAGACCCTTGGATCTGGGCCTTGAGTATCCCAACTGGGGTCTTAACCACTAGGCCAAATGTTCCACACCTATTCCCTGGGGATTTAGTGTTCTTTTTAACCAACTTACTTAAAAGAGAAAAAAGAGAGAAAGATCCACTTTTCATCTGCTGGTTTATTCCCTCAAATGCCCCAATAGCCAGTGTCAGGCCAGGTCTCCTATGTAGGTGGAAGATGCCCAAGCACTTGGCCCATCATTTGCTGTTTCCCATGATGCATCAGCAGGAAGCTGGCTTGGAAGTGGAGTTAACTGTGACTGGAATCAGTACTCTGATATGGAATGCAGGTGACCCAAGCAATGATTTAATTGTTGCACCCAAATCCCTACCATGTAACTCTTTTTTTAAAAGGGAAATTGAACTAATTTTAGAGCTAGATTTTTTTGAATTGAAATTTTACCAAATTACATACGAAAGTGGACTATCAAAAAGTATTTTTCTTTTTTAAAATTTATTTTTATTCAAAGATTTACAGGAAAAAAAAAAAAAGAGAGACAGAGAGAGATCTTTTATCTACTGGGTCACTCCCCAAGTAGCTGCAATAGCTGGAGCTGAGCTGATCTGAAGCCAGGAACCAGGAACTTCCTCCAGGTCTCCCTGCGGGTACAGGGTCCCAAGGCTTTGGGCCATCCTTGACTGCTTTCCCAGGCCACAAGCAGGGAGCTGGACAGGAAGTGCAGCAACTGGGATACGAAAGAGTGCCCATATGGGATCTGGGGTATGCAAGGCGAGGACTTTAGCCACTAGGTTACTATACCAAACCCTCAAAGAGTATTTTAACCATATTTATAAATATATTCGACTTATAAGAAATACTGAACTTTAAAAATATTCAGTTGAAGGAATTTTTTAAAGGTTTATGTTTATTTGAAAAGCAGAGTTACAGAGATCTTTCCTCTGCTAGTTTGCTCCCCAAATAGCTGTAACAACCAGACCTGGCCAGTCATAAATCAGGAGTCTGTTTCTCCCATGTGGGTGCCAGGATCCCCAGGACTTGGTGCATCCTACACTGCTTGTCCAGGCCACAAACAGGGAACTGGATGGGAAATGGAACAGCCCCAGGACTCGAATCAGTATCCATACGGGATGCCGGTACCATAGACATTGGCTTAAAATTTAATCACCACAGTGCCAGCACAAAGGAATTCAATTTTAACGTATTAAGTTTATTAAACACACATTAAATGCTTGAAGATGTTGAATTCAGTCAGTCAGTTATTTGTTTTCCGGAAAGGGATCGGCGATAAAAATAGAATAATAAAATTTGTAAAGGTAAACTTCAAAGCTTAAAAAGGAAATGACTTTTGAATCTGTAACTGCCACACCCTTGCCTGTTTTTCTGTGGGGGTGTTTGTTCTCACAGGGTGTAAGCCAACTGACTTGTGGGGATTGAAGGAAGCGTGAATCAACTGGAAAGGGCTGAATGGAAAAGTCTGTAGAAAAGCTTGTTTGGCAGGCAGAGGAGCTTGGACGTTTTTGAGAGGAGCAATGGGGGAGAGGAACAAGCTTACTTGACAAAGCACCTTCTGGCTGGCGGAGGTCACAGCGGTGACAGTGGCATCCTTGCAAGCAGGCAATGGTGAAAGCCGCAGGCTCTCCAAGTAACCCGGGTCGGGGGCAGGTGGAGGCGGGAGCCGAGCTATAGGCAGGCCAGAATACGGACAGTCCCTGCTGGACCCAAGACTCGGACGCCACCGGCAGTTCATGGGGAAGCACAAAGCCCCTCGGGAGAAGGCTGAGGACCGAATACCCTGGAATACCAGGGCGGTTCGCCAGGGCCAGGGAGGGCGGCACCCCTCACAGGGGTCAGAGTCCCCTGAAAAAAGAACTGGTCAGCAAGGGTCGGGGCCCAAAAGGAAGGGCGTTGGGAGACACATGGTTCTTCCCTTCAGCCTCCACTTCTCAAACTCGTTCTAAACCGCCCCGGGTCCCACAAGGACACCCCGAGCCTCCCAGGACCGCCGTACTGCTAGTGGAGTAGATGCGCCCCACGAAGTCGCACGTTGGGAGGCAGCCCGGCCAGGGCGCGGCTACAGCCGGGAGCTCCTTCCCCGCGCAGCACAGCCGAGCACGAGCCCGATTGGCCGACGGACTCCGCCTCCTTCCTTCCGCCTGCAGCAGACGTTAGCGGGTGGCGGCAGGGGGCGGGGCCCGAGAGTGGCCACGCCCCATCGCGGCGGCGCGTGGGCTGGGCCCGGTTGGCCACGCCTCTTCGCGGTGGCGCGTGGGCGGGGCCCGGACGGCCGGGCAGCCCGCGCACTCGGCAGGAGCTGCAGCTGTCGCCGCCCGCGCCTCCGAGGTCTCTCGGCTTCCTCCAGCAGGGACCTGGGCTCGGCCGCCATGTCCGCCGCGGACGAGGTTGACGGGCAGGGCGTGGCCCGGCCGCACTATGGCTGTGAGTGCGGGGCCGGCGAGGTGCACGGGTCTGGTGGGGGAGAGAGGTGGTCGGCGTTGGCAGCCTCCGAGGGAGTTGGCCTCGATGGTGGGTGTGCGGGCCGTGGGCACCCGGAAGAGCTGGCTCGGCGGACGGCGAGGCCCCCGGAGCCGGCGTCTCCGTGGTGGGCTCCGAGGTGGCAGGGAAGGACCTCAGAGGCCTTACCACCGCGTCTGGACTGGGGGCCCCACCCAACGCCTCCCGTCGCCCGGCTCGACCGAGATTGGGAGCCGGCCTGGGTGAGGTGGCAGCCCGGTGCAGGGCGTGTCCCGGGGGCCCGCAAGAACGTGCTGCCCCTGGTGCTGCCTGGCGACGTGGCCGAGAGCTCCCCACCTGCTCGCCCCGGGCTGTCCGAGGGGTGCGGTCCCTGGGCAACTCGCTTCAGCTTGCATGGACTTAGAGTTCTCTCATCGGGATTTCAAAAGAGAGCGAGATTGCAACCTTAACCCGTTTGACTTCCTCATTTTTTGGTAGCAGGTTCCTGGGACATCAAGTTCCAAGGAGTCATGTTCTTGGTTTCAAGGATAATTTCACGCACTTATACAATTCCACCTTGAGCTATTGTGCCACGTTAGTGAAATTCAAGATAAGAGCGGGCTCTGCCTTCCAAGAATATTTTGTTTTTCTTTTCTAATCAGAGAGACAGGTGTGCACACCAACGAGAATGTGTGATGGAGAGAAGAGGCAGGGCAGGAGGCAGACAGGGACTTGGGGCGGCAGCCTGATCACAGGTGGGGACGGCGAAGGATGCTGAGGGCCTGGGTGGGGCAGGAGAGGTGGAGGCCGGATGGTGTGCAGGAAGGCCAGGCTGGGGTTAGGAACTTACTCCACAGCCTGGGCATCGCTTCAAGCTCCAGCCCCCAGGCTGTGGGACCCTACTCCTCCTTGACCTGCAAGCACCCCGTCTATCAGAGAGCAGTGCTGGAAACCATCCAGCACCATTCCTGCCACTCAGTTCTTAACAGGTTCGGGCTTTGCTCCAGAGGAGGGTACAGTGCTACTGGACCTGTGCTAGGAATAAATCCTGGTGGACAGACAGTGAAATCGGGCCAAGAACTCAGATCCATATTTTTGTTGAGATTTGTTTTATTTTGAAAGGCAGAATAAAAGAGAGAAAGGGAGAGACTGAAAGAGATCTACTGCTGGTTCACTTAGGGCTGGGCCAAGCCGAAGCCAGGAAGGTGGCACTCCATCTGGGTCTGCCGTGTAGGTGACAGGGGCCTGAGCACCTGGGCCATCACCTTCTACTTTCTCAGCTGCATTAGCAGGGAGCTGGATCAGATTGGAAGCAGCTGGGACTCTAACCTGTGCTGTGGTTTGGATACCTGTGTGGCAGGTAGCTTAACTCGCTGCTCCACGTGCAGACCTTTCAAGCCAGTGCTTTTCAAGGTTATGCTAAAATGCAGTCCGTGTTCAAGCTTGTATGAAATGTCTCGAAAAAGGGCACGATGAGTATAACTGAAACTCCAGGGTTCTTTTTTTAGGAAAGGCCTCGTACTCTATCTGGGGGTATTTACACTTGTCCCCGCTGCCCTGACCTGGGTAGTGACAAGCAGGCGTTTGTGGGCGGTCTCAGGCAGATGACTGATCTTGCTGTTTACCTGGCCCTGCTGCTTTTTTTCTCCTGTTCTAGCTGTCCTGGATAATGAGAGACTCACTGCGGAGGAGATGGATGAGAGGAGACGTCAGAATGTGGCCTATGAGTACCTCTGTCATTTGGAGGAAGCCAAGAGGTAAGGATGCCAGGCTGGGGGAGGAGGGAGCAGGTGTGGCTGGGGGGGGCGGAGGCCGGGGATGTCAGTGCAGGTAGAGGATTGATTCATGGGAGCAAGTGACCTTGAGGGTAGCTCATCAGGAAATGCTGTGTTGAGTGTTTCTGTGTCCTGAAAAGTTTCCAGATTTCTGCTATTAAGTTTTATGCTTAAAATGTATGTTGTGGGCACTACCCTGTATGGGCAAAAAAAAAAAAAAAATATATAGTATCTTTTTGGATTTGAAGTTCTTAGTCTTCAGATTTTACGAAATTCCACTGGTTTTCATTTCTACGTGAATTGAGTTCTTTCCCTCCTCACTAGGGGAATGTAGGTAGCATGGGAGGCTTAGAAAAAACTGGTGTTGTGGCCTATCTGGTAAAGCCTCCACCTGCGATGCCAGTGTCTCATGTGGGCACTGGTTCTTGTCCTGGCTGCTCCACTTGTGATCCAGCACCCTCTTTAACGTGCCTGTGAGAAGCAGTGGAAAATGGCACAAGTGTTTGGGGCCCTGCCACCCTCATGGGACACCTGGGTAAAACTCTGGGCTTCAGCTTGGCCCAGCCCTAACCATTAGGCAGTGAGCTGGTGGATGGAAGATCTCTCTTTTTTTTCTCTCTCTCTGTAACTTTTACCTTCAAATAAATAGATCTAAAGAGTGGGTAGTATTGTGCCTGTGGGTACACCTCTGGCAGTATTGTGACCGGCTCCCCTGTGCACACATGCCACGTGCAGGTACAGTGTTACAGTTGTGACTTGGCTCCCATGGATGTCTGGTGGTTAATTTCCTTTTGTTCTATTGCCTGTGTTCTTTGTGAGGCCCCAGGACAGAGAGATGTAATTATGGATCATGCTTTCTCTAAGTTAACTGCTACAAGAGCTAGCAAGGGGTAATAAAAGGTATTTGTAGTCTAAAGTTAATGACAATCAAAGGTATTTTCAAAGAGTGCTAGAAAATAAGTGGTTTTGTTTGTTTTGGAACAATTCTGAAAATGTTAAAAACAGTACAGGAAAATCTCCTGGAACAATACCACAAACACTCTTGACTCCCAGAACTAACCCCTCCGATCTTTCCTTTGCCCCTAAAATGTACACAATGCAACAGCCAGCTGCACTCAGGGACCTTTTGGTGTCTGTTCTGGGGTCCTGTTCTTTTCTCCCCTGGGATGACAGGCATCTAGTATGCCCGCTAGAATCCTGGAGGCTTTCCTGAGCTTCACACTTTTTTAGCAAACAGGGGCAGACATATTCATGATAGTGTCGCAGAAGTTCACCCAGCAGGAGGTGACCGTGTGGTCAACAGAGGGGGCATTTTCTTCCAGGAGTTTTGTAAGGGAATAGGTGCTAAGTCCTCTGCCACTTACATTATATTCTGGGTTTGCTTAGTTATTTGAAGAGATTGTTCATCTCCCTGCTTACACCCCAAATGGCTGTAGTGGCCGGGGCTGGTCCTGGCTGAAGCTAGGAGCCCAGAACTCCATTTGGAGTCTCTCGTGTGGATGGCAGGTATCCAAGCACTTGGGACACCTTCTGCTTCCCAGGCATTTTCGATGGTAGCCATATAGGATGTAGAGTGGCTGGGTGGGACTTGAACTGACACTCTGATGTACAAGTGGTCGGTGGTTGAACATGATGCTCCCCACACCAGCCACGACCTCTAGTTTTGAAAGCTGCCCCTGGTCTAGGGGGCCGTTCTGTGCTCTAGAACACCAGAAATGCTGTTCACCTTGTGTTGAGAGAGGGAGATGTCCCAAGCTACTAGCCTGCCTTCTTTTGGGGAAGATTTGAAATTTATTTGAAAGAGTGGCCGAGTGCAGGAGAGCACTTCCGTCTGCTGGTTTACTTCCCAGATGCTCCGCACTGGACCAGAACCTCAAAACTCAGTCCAGTCTCCTACGTGGGTGACCGGTACCAAGGGTTGGGCCCTCTCAGTTGCCTTTTAGGGTGTCTGCTAGCAGGAAGCTGGAATTGGCAGCAGAGTGGAGATGTGAATCTGTGCATGCTGGCATGGTTTCTCAAGTAACATCTTAATCCCCGCACCTCAACACTTTCACCCACCCCGACAGTGTGTGTGTGTACGATTTAATTTATTTGAAAGAGTGAGAAGGAAAGACAGAGGAAAGTCTTTCGTCTTCTGGTTTGCTTCCCAAATGGCTGCAACTGCCACAGCTGGGCTGGGCTGAAGCTTGGAGCTTCCTCCTGGTTTCCCCCAGGTGGGTGCAGGGGCCCGAGCCCTTGGTCCATCTTTAGCTGCTTCCCCAGGTGCTGAGTGGGAGGTGGAGTAGCTGGGACTACAAACTGCTTCCATATGGGATGCTGGTGTTGCGGGTGGCAACTTACCTCACTATACCGCAGTGCCAGCCCCATTCCTGGGGAGAACTTTAATCCAGGTACCTTTGTCTCAGCACAGGGGCCAGGCCACAGCCAGGATCTGGAAACTCAGTCCAGGCCTCCACGCAGGTGACAGGGACTCAGCTCGTTGTGCCATCACCTGCTGACTTGCTGGATACACATTAGCCAGAAACTGGAGTCGGGGAACTAGGGAACTAACTCCCTGCTAATGCACCTGGGCGGTGCAGGGCTGTGGAGTTGGGAGTGGACCTGGCGCTCCATTACAGCATGTGGTTGAGATACAGACATCTTGATTGAGAAGCCATTGTGCGTTCCTGATACTTTTACATCCTTTGGAGTTGTCTAAGGCCATGGAGCCATTTATGATGTTCTTTATTTTCTTACACTCTGGGTTATAAGGGAGATTATAATAATGGCCCTTGTCCTGGCATATGCCGCCCATTGGCCTAGCTATATGGAAAGTCTCCTAAATTATTTTGGGGAGGGAATTGTATAAAATTTGGAGGTTTTTTTGTTTGTGTGTTTTTGTTTTGGTCTGAAGCTTAAATTAGGAAATTAAGTAGAACTAAGAAAAGCCTGAAAGTGTTATGGTAGGAAAAGAGGGCTGATGTGGTCGCTGCCACCTCTCTAACAGGTGTCCTGGGCATACCGCAGGCTGATGGCGTGGGCTTTGCTATCAGCCTGGGCTTCCGCTGCCAGCTCAGTCTCCTACTGAGGGGAGCTAAGCGGCAACCCCTTGCTCCCCTCTAGGACAGGACCTCTGTGAGTTGGCCCTGTTCTGTTTCTTTCATGTCCTCCACCTCTCCCAAGTTGAAGCTGCCCAAGGTGTGGGGTTTGCAGTGGCTCCAAGGCCAGGAATCAAGATCAGAGCGCTCCACAGGGGACAAGGGCTCTCTCTCCAGCTGTATTTATAATATCCCTACTCCTCCCACCCGAGCACAGTGGCCTCATTGTGAGTCCCGGGGTACTCCATTTTCTTCAGTACTGTTAACAGAGCTCTGTCCTGGGCAAAGCTGAGAGTGTGCGGAGAGAGTGGAATATGAACACACGCTGGACTGTGTGTGTGTGGAAAGACAAGTGTGTCATGCCCCAAAGGCTAAGTGGGAAATGATGAACATGTAAATTTCAAAGTGCACACTGGGAACGGCTGGGAAATAGACCCACAGAAATTGGTGCTTTTCTTAATGGTTGAGATCGCTTCCATTTGGGAGTTAAGCTGTCATCAGGAAATGTCATCTTGGGATTCGAGGCTTTTTGCTGAGGACTCTGTAGCAGGTGAGGACTTGGTTACCTCTAGGCTCACACCGGGGCATGTTGGATCTTTCTGTCCGTTCTAGTCGGGCTTTGCATTTGTTGAGGCCACCAAGCAGTTAAAAAAGAGGAATAAAGAACATTTTCACGGAATGGAAGGAGATGACATTTAAATAGACGAAATGCTTGGGTGCTGGGCAGGAGGAAGTCCTTGAGAGAGCTCAGAGGAAGGCACAGGTGGAAAGAAGTGAGAAGGGAACACAGGTGAAGAAGTGTGTGCTGCGCTGGAATCGGGGAAGAGCTGTGTGATGCTGCACCGCCCCCTCCCCTGGGGCAGAGGGGAAGGGAACAGCTGGGTCGGAGTGGAGGCTTTCTGTAGCTCCCCAGCAGGAACAAGAGGTTAGCACTGACTCGGAGCCCTTTGCCTGCTGTAATTTAGGGGAACTGAAAAAGTATCTTGCAAAGAACCAGTTCTTGTGAACAGTTCCCTTTTGTGCATATCTCTTCATTTTTTGGCAGGGGAAAAAAAACACACACACACACAACATTTTCTGGGATGGGCTCCATCAGATCTCGTTTCCCTCTAAACCGTATCAGAATGGCGGGACATCTAGATCTGTCCTGGCAGGCACACTGTGGTCATCTAGGATGTCTAAGGAAACACAGGAGATAGGCTGGGTGACTGGCCAGAGAAGCTTCGAGAATCCTCAGAGAAACAACACCAGCATCGGGCTGAGGTTGCCCCAATGTGTAAGCACCGCTTAACCCATTGATCTGGGGCCCCTGGTCTGTGTTATTTAACCTGAGATGCCCCCTAGTCATATGGGTCACCTGTAAAGATTTAGCCTGAGCATTTAGTGTACCACTCAGTGTGGCTGTGAAGTGGATGTCAGTGAAGTGGTCTGAGTGAAAATAGAAGCTGGATACAAGTGAGTTGTCAAGGGAAAGTGTGGGATGAGATTTCATCTCAGTTGTTCTAACCGAGAGAGCAATAGAAAGAAGCCTTAGGTCTTGGCTCTGAAAATGCAGCCCAGGGTCCCTCCTGGAATGGCTCCAGGGGGAGAAGTGGGTGTATTGAAGAGTTATTTCTTAAAGTGTTTGAAACCAAGTGCTTCTCCACATAGTAACAATGTTGCAGATGGGAGTGTGAGTTCTTAGTGTGGCCACTGAAAGAGTTTTACCCCAAGGAGCTGAGGCAGTACAGCCAAATTTACAATTTAGAAATGTAGAGAATAGGGCCCAGAGCTGTAGCCTAGCAGCTGGAGTCTTTGCCTTGCATGCACTGGGATCCCATATGGACGCTGAATCCCGGCAGCCACACTTCCCATCCGACTCCTTGTTTGTGGCCTGGGAAAGTAGTCGAGGACAGCCCAACACCT